GAAAGCAGTACAACTCCAAGGAGATCTACTGGGTCTAATCAATTTTTTCTGGAGAAGAGTATTAATTTCATTTTTACAAAGTTCCATATACTCTTTTTTCATTTGACTGAGACGAGCCTTTGTAGGAATTTTCTTTTCATTAAATGTGGGCTCATAGGGCAACGAAACCATATGTTTCTTGCGATCCCAAAAAGCATTAGGGACATCACTGCAAATTTCTTCCTTGAATTCTTTTTCAAGTAATTTAATCTTTTGCTGAAAAGAGGATTGCTGTAGTCTTTGTTCTGTAGTTAAAAAACTAACTTCCTTTTGAAGGAAATTTATTTGGTTTTGTTTTAAAGAAACTAAATCAGTAATTTGATCTAATTCTTTTGTACAAGGAGACGTGATAAATTCAAAAACAATGTTTTGATTATCAAGAGTTGTATGAATACCTATTGTATCAATTTTAGTAATAGGCATTAAAAGATTCAGGAAAGGAGTACCAAGAATTATGTTTTGAGCCATATTTTTAATCAAAACAAAAGAGGTTTTTAAATATAATCCCTGATTACAAATTAATACTTTTGGAAGTTTGTAATCAATATACAAACTATTACCACTAGCACTGGTTAATGATTGACTTGTTTTCTGGAAATACTTGGTGGGAACCAAGCCTTCTTGTATGCAATTCATATCTGCACCACTATCAACCAAAGCAATAGCATCGCGAATAATATAATCTGGTTGAATCATGAATGTGATACGAATATACCATTTCTGAAATGTTACTTTATTTAATATCATTAAATAATCTGGATTAGGTTCAGGTGTTTCAGTTTTATTCTTTTTCTCATTTTGTAGTTGGGAATTAATCTTCTTAATTTGTGAATTCCTAACAAGATTGGAATTCTGTAAATGTTTAATTTCTACCTTTAAAGCATTAATTTCCATTTTTAGATCTTGAACTGTAATGGGTTTTTCTGGACTAGGTTGCTATAAGCAATTAAAAACTTCTTTCATGCTATAATGTTTGGGGGGAAGTATTTCTTCTTTCTTCTGATTATAGCACATCTCAAGAAACTTTAATTTAGTAACTGGATCTTTAATGCTATCAGCAATCTCTAGAAGATTTTGCTCAAAATCTGTAAGGACATTAATACTGGGACCAATATTAAGTCCATTCATTTCAACTATAGCTTTCCAATAATTTACTTCATCGGAAACTTGGTTTACTGAAGTTTTACAAGGGCAATTTTCATTTTCATTTTCTGGATTATCATCTATTTCTTGATCTGAACTATCTGAATATATTACTGCTAATTCATTATCAGAAGGGTAGGATGAAGAACTAGAGTCGGAAATTAACTGTAAAATTTTTTGCTGGGTTTCATCATCTAATGCTAACTCATTTAGTTTAGATTGAATCTTAGCTCTACATTTATTAGCATAATGACCTATTTGTCCACATTTGTAACATTTAATACTGGATTTATTCTTTTGAAAAGATTTTCCTTTAGCTCTGGATTTATACTTAGGTTTAGAAGTTTGGGGTTGTGACTGGACCTTAGGTTTTGAATACAAGTGAACAATTTGCTTATGATGCTCCAGTCCAGTATCCCCAATTGTTCACTTGTATTCTAAACCTCTTGAATTCTTATTTTAGCTAACTTAATGTCTCAAATTCAAGGTTGAATTTCTTACCTAGGCTCTCAATTCTCTTGAATCTTAGCAATTGTAGTTATCACCCTTCCGACCCTTTCAATTTTCCAAACAATTCTTCCACCTCTAGCTTTGATCTCAATGTTCTCTCTTCTCTCCCTCTCTCTACGTTTTTGTTGAAAAGATGATGACAATGAAGTGTATCTAAGGCTTCTAGAATCAATTAGCCTTATATAGGCTCAATTAGTGGAACTTAATGAACTTGATTTAAGGGTAATCAATTGGGATTATTTTATTCTAATTATTTGATTCCGAATCGAATTTCAATTAAACCTACCATTAAATTCTAAAAATTCCAAATAATACATATACGTAGCCAATTTCACGTTCGGACACCAATAATGCAATCAATTTGCATAATGAAACAGAAACACAGACAGATATTTCTACGACCGACAGATAGATCACATATAACACACAATTAACACATGTTTCCATCATAATTACTTATTAAGTATTCTTAATTAAGGATGATAAGCTAATCACAGGTCAGGTTTGTTACAGTCTTCCCGTCTTAAAGAGTTTGGTCCTCCAAACTCGAATTACCTTCGTTTTGAAAGAATATCAAGTCTAGAGGGGACAAATCAGGGTATCTCTTCATCATATTCTCTTCGGTCTCCCAAGTCACATACGTCCCTCCATGATTTTGCCAATCTACTTTCACCAATGGAATTTCTTTATTCCTCAGTCTTTTAATTCGGTGGTTTAAAATTTGAATTGGCCATTCTTCATACGTATAATCATCCTTCATGAGTACATGTGTTGGCTCAATAACATAATGCGGATCTTGTAAATATTCCCGAAGCATCGAAACATGAAAAACATTATGCATGTTCTCCATAACAGGAGGTAAAGCCACCTGATATGTCACTGGATTAATTTTCTCAGTAATTTCATATGGCCCAATATACTGCGGTGCCAACTTTTCTTTAACCCCGAATTGAGTTTCTCCTTTCATTGGACTTACTTTGATAAACACGTGATCACCGACTTCATATTCTTTGTCTCTTCTCTGGATATTTGCATAACTCTTTTGGCGACTTTGGGCGATTTTCAAACATTATTAAATCAGTTTGACTTTCTCAGTTGTTTCTTGCAAAAGTTCCGGTCCCAATGACGGTCTATCGCCTACTTCGGCCCAACACATCAGGGATTGGCACTTCCTACCATACAGAGCTTCGTAAGAAGCCATCTTAATACTTGAGTGATAACTATTGTTGTACACAAACTCGGCCAGTGGCAGATAAGCTTCCCAATATCCTTGGAAATCTAACATACACATTCTGAGTATATCTTCCAAGGTTTGAATGGTTCATTTAGATCGGCCATCCGTTTGTGGATGGTATGCACTACTCAACCTCGATTCAATCCCCAAAAGCCTATTGCAAACTCTGTCAGAATTTTGAAGTAAACTTTGAATCACTATTAGACACAATAGATACGGGTACACCATGTAATCTCACAATTTCATTTACATAAATGTTAGTCAATTTATCCGCATTATAAAAAGTTTTGATAGGTAAGAAATGGGCGGATTTAGTCAAACGATCAACAATTACCCAGATAGAGTCCATACCTCTAGAAGAACGAGATAGACCGATAATGAAGTCCATCGTAATATGCTCCCATTTCCATTTTAGTATTGGAAGCGACTGAAGTAGTCCAACAAGTAGTTGATGTTCAGTTTTCACTTGTTGGCAATGCAAACATTTGGCTACATAGTCAACAATACTCTTCTTCATTACAGGCCACCAGAAATTCTATTTCAAATCTTTGTACATTTTCATATTCCCTAGATGCATAGCAAATTTAGAATTGTGAGCTATGGTCATAATGCGTTTTCTTAATTTCGAACAATCTGGTACACAAAGTCTTCTTTGAAATTTCAAAACATTGTCTTCAAACACAAACCTGGGCCTCGGTTTTGAACCAATCTCATCAACAATCTTCTTCAAAAACCCATATTGCAGTTGCTTTTCTTTAACTTCTTCAAGTATAGTTGGTTGTGCGGATATAGGGGCTAAAACTCCACCATGTTCACGCAAAAAAATTTCAATTTTGTTTCTTTCTAGGTCACACAACAACTTTTTCTAGTTAGTGAACAAACATGACAAATTTCCAATGGATTTTCAGCTCAAAGCATCTACAACTGTATTTGCATTTCCCGGATGATACAAAATTTGCAAATCATAATCTTTTATCATCTCAAGCCACCTTCTCTGCCTCATGTTCAGTTCTTTCTGAGTAAAGAAATATTTCAGACTCTTATGGTCCGTGTACACCTCACAAGTCACTCCATATAGATAATGGCGCCAGATTTTCAAAGAAAAATCACAGCTGCAAGTTCTAGATCGTATGTCGGATAATTCTTCTCATGAGATCGGAGTTGTCGAGAAGCATAGGCAATCACTTTGCCGTCTTGTATTAGTACACATCCCAAGCCTTTGTACGAAGCATTACTGTAGATTTGGAACCCATCTATACCATTAGGTAGAGTCAAAATTGGTGCAGTTACCAGTCTAGTCTTCAATTCCTGAAAAGCGAATTCCCTCTGATCATTCCAATCAAATGGTACATTTTTTTGTGTCAACTGTGTCAGTGGCATGGCAAGTTTAGAGAAGTCTTTTACAAATCTTCTGTAATAGCCAGCAAATCCTAGAAAACTTCTAACTTCAGTCACAGTGGTCGGTCTTGGCCAGTTCACAATAGCCTCAATTTTCTGTGGGTCAATGGATATGCCATCTTTGTTGATCACATGCCCTAGAAATGTCACACTGTCTATCTAGAATTCACATTTGGAGAGTTTTGCATACAATTTATTTTCTCTCAAAATTTGTAACACAGTTCTTAAATGGTTTTCATGATCTTCCCTACTTTTGGAGTAAATCAGAATATCATTAATAAACACAACAACAAATTCATCACGGAATTGTTTGAATACCCTATTCATTAAGTCCATGAATGCTGCAGGCGTATTAGTTACCTCAAAAGGCAATACCAAAAACTCATAGTGCCCATATCTTGTTCGAAAGGCTATTTTATCAATGTCTTCCTTTTTAGCTTTTAATTGGTGGTATCCGGATCTAAGGTCTATTTTTTAAAACACTTGGGCTCCCTGAAGTTGGTCAAATAAATCATCTTTTGGGGCAATGAATATTTGTTCTTGACAGTTATTTTGTTCAATTCTCGGTAATCAATGCATAACCTCAAAGACCCATCTTTGTTTTAACAAACAAGACTGGAGCACCCCAAGGTGAAGTGCTTGAACGAATGAACTTCTTATCCAACAGTTCTTGAAGCTAAATTTTCAATTTTTTTAGTTCAGAAGTTGACATTCTATAAGGGGTTTCAGAAATTGGCTGGGTTTCAAGTACTACATTAATAGTAAACTCAATTTCCCTATCAATTAGATCTCTGGGTAGTTCATTTGGGAAGACATCAGGGAATTCACAGACTACAAGAATAGTTTCCACACTATGACTATCAGAAGTCACATTTAAAACACTGCACAAATAACCTCTACATCCCTTTTTAAGCAATCTGATGGCTTTCATAGCAGAAATCATATACGGAGGTGGAACTATCTCATTCCCAGCAAACATAAATCCAGACAAGCCAGGTGGTCAAAAGACAACAGATTTATTCATACAATCAATAGTTGCATGGTATTTAGTCAACCAATCCATGCCTAATATACAATCAAAATGAGCAATGTCCAATGGCAGCAAATCAACATATAATAACACATCCCCAATCATGATGTCACACGCAAGATACACATAAGCACACACCATAGAACCCCCATAAAGTGTAGATATAGATAACAAAGAATTCATAGGTTCTAGTTGTCTAGTCAGTTTTCAAGAAAAAACATGCGACACGAATGAATAGGTAAATATATAATCTATCAACACATATGCATTCTGAACACAAATAAGGAGTATACCTGACACTACAGATTCAGTGTTTTGGACATCCCCCGGTACAAGTGCAAAAACTCGACCTTGCCTTAGGGTTTCTTTCCCGGCATTGGTTCTCACATTTGATCTCGATACAGAAGTAGATCCGACTGAACTTGCTATAGGACGGTTGGCATTTTCAACTATGAGTGGACAATCTTTTACTATGTGGACAGTTTTGTCACATCAAAAACAAGCACCCAAGACTCGGTAACAAACACCTTTGTGTTTCTTACCACATTCTGGACAAGCAAGTATGGAACCACTTCCCTAACTTGTTTCTTATTCGCTAAAAATGAATGGCCCCTTCTAAAATTGAATCCGGATCTTTTGTTTCTCCATTCGATTGTTGGGGCTTCGGTTTGTTTCATAGTTGCTAGATTGGCTTCTGTCATCAAGGCTCTATCAAGCGCATCCATACACTTAGGCAACTTTAGCACACTAATCCGATCAAATACATCCAGGTTTAGGCCTCCCTCAAATTTTTGAGCTTGCTTGTAGTTTGAGTCTACCATGTGTGGAGCAAACCGGGCCAACTCAGTAAATTTGGCTTCGTATTCTGCTACCGAAAGGTTGCCTTGTTTCAATTGTTCGAATTCTGCCACTCTTCGATCTCTAAAGCACTGAGGGAAGTACTTCTCATAGAAGACATCTCTGAATTGGCTCCATGTCATAGTCCCACTGTCATTTCGTATAAGCATCCACCAATGACGAGCATCCTCTTTCAAAGTGTAAGTTGCTAACAAAACTTTTTGGGTTTCAGAGCAGGTGAACACTTCAAATAATTTCTCTATTTCTAGCATCCACGTCTCAACCTTTAGTGGTTCAATACCACCCAGAAAAGTTGGTGGCCTCATCTTGTTGAATTTTTGAGTTAAACTGATAATGTCGTTGGTTACCGGCTCTACATGCATCGGCGATGACGAAGGGGACAAAGGTTGTTGTCCCTGTTGTTGTCTCAATGATACGGTCAATGTTGCCATCATTCTTTAAGCCGGTCAAAATGGGTATCAGAGGATTCAATTGCATCATTACTTCTTGTATTTTCCATATTCTATAGGTAAACAGAGCACAAATAAACACAGGAATAATCTTATCACAGTGTTCAGTTTAGTTCATGTCATTTCATAGTCATTTCACATTGGTTTAGAAATGTTCACATGATGTCGCATGCTCTCACATGTAGATGTAATGTCCCTAATTCCTTTCTATGACATCTTATAGCTCACATGGACTCATAAGTGCGATATAACACGTGCTCTAATACCACTTTGTCACGACCCAAACCCGCCCTTATTGGTTTAGCATTGTAACCGGCTAGTAATCCTAGGATTACCGAAGGCCTCTGAATAGATTAACAAAATAAGGGGCTAGCGGAAACAATTATCCGAATATGTAATGTCCATAGAGCTGTGCAAACGTATATAGGACAGTAACATTTAAAACTTATATTCACATATATGTGACGTCATATATAGATATATTAGTCATACGCCACCCAAAAGAAGATAAAGCAAAGCGGGACTTAGCCATTTACATATTCTAAACAAAAGTCTTGTTCCAAAAGAAAAAGGAAAAGATAAAGCAGACACCACATGCACTTGACTTGAATGCTTGAAACACTTGGGGACCTCTTCGAAAGGCGCTGTGGTTAGCTTGACAAAACAGAATTCCAGGCAACAGCTTAAGCCTAGTCCCACACCTGATCACCTACATACATCAATAATACAGTGAGTTGGAGCCTAGTGAATAACAACAGAGTAGAGGGTTTGTGAATGATGTCCAAAACAGATTCAAATATCAGAGTTCATATCAAACCAGATTCAGATTCATATGCTCCTACAGATTTCATAAACAGTTATACGTGGTACATTGTGGACCCGCCTTTTTCGGCGCCCTACCTTTCAGAAAGGTTTGAAAAGAAGGCCTCATAATTCGGACTCATGCGGTTCTAACTCTAGTCTCACAAATGCAATGTAAAACTGATAATCACCAAAGAGTCCAAATCCAACAAATCTTTTTGGAAAATTGATTTTTAAATCAAATAATGCCAAAATTGGACTGCTTTGCTAGATTACAGAGTCGCCACCTAAATATTTTATTTTTTGGAGAAATTTAGGAAACCCTAACTCGTGCCAAAGGCCATGTATCCGTCATCACCAAAGTTGTCTCGACTCGGAAACTTGGGTACGAGGGGGGAAGGTCATGAATTGAGCACCCCCGCTCGTCTGATCAAAGATCGGCCTCTACTAATCATGATATGAAATTTTATAAACATTATGTGTTCTTATTCCGATTATTAAACTAACATTACTATGTGACGCACATAAGCCAATATAGACTACGTCACAAGAATTGGAACATTTCAAGTCATGTTTGTTTGTGAAAATGGTTTGAATTTGCCACCTCAAGTGGGCTTAAAGATACAGATTTGCCACCAAACATAGTGGGCTTAAAACATACATTCATTGAATCATTCCAATTCAAACAACAAGCCTTCATCCACAGGCATTCATGCAGTTTAGCATTTAAGCATATAGCCTCATGGCAAGCATGCTAATTATGGCAACACTCACACTCATGCAAGTATGCTAAAGCGTAAAACTCACCTTGTACTCCAAGCTAGGAAAGAAAACAAAGTTAGAAAAAATGCATGACTCCTAACTACATTAAATGACTAATGCAACACATGTAATAATGCAACTAAATAGGCTTCGGTACTTAATCATCGCATATGGATTGATTTGATAACATACGGTAAAACACGTATTCAAATAAGATATTGAAATGACAATGCAGTTTGAATCATGCGCCGAGCCTCGGTGTATGCAATACGAATGAATGGATGTAAGCATGCGATATGCTAATTGAAATATGATCCCTAATCTAACCATCAAAAGCGATTAAATAAAAGGGAGAAAGACGTGGGGTTGGAAACATAACACACATACGCACACTTATTACAACATTATGCCCTCACGAAGGAGGGTCCGAATGAACAAGAGCTAAGCTAATCTAAGCTAAACTAGTTATTACAACACAATATTTAACTAACTATTCTAAGCTAATTAAATACTACAAACCGAATTAATTAATTAAACACTTAACTAATTAATTACAAAACGACTAAGCTAATTAATTACAACATGAACTAATTAACTAATTTAACTAGACAAGTTAAATCAATGGCCTCGGGAAACGAAGGATGCATGCATGCGCTCGGTTTTCGCCCCGAAAAGTCCTCCGCTTTGCTCTTAAGAGGCTCTATTTGCAAGGTTGAACACACTGCAGAACCTTTCTGCTCCACCTTTCCAATTCCTTGCTGAGGGTTACACTAGTGGTCTGCCGGCCATGGATGGCTACTGCCGGCCAGAAATGAAGCCTTGCCGGCCATTGATGAGGCACTACCGGCCACTGATGCTCTGAGTCACCACACTGCAATAGAGCACAAACAGAGCAAAAGGAAGGTCTTTCCAAGGGTTTGTTTGTACTGTACCCCTCCTTATCATCACGAAACCTCAAAGAAGTGACACACTTGGATCCAAAACCACCAATCAAACAATTTGATTGCATGATGGCCAAAGATCCAAGTTGTACAATTTCGATAAATGCACAAATTAGACTCGAAGGACCACCACCTTATCATGCATGATCAAAGGCAATGGAGACCAAGGAAAATGGCACATTTCATCACTATTGAGTATGAAATGTCCCATTTGCCTTGTGTTCAAACTAACGCCCGGTTTGAACACATGCAATACAACACAAAGAATGCTTATCTTGACTCTTTTTTGCTTGCATGATTTGTTTACTCTTTTTTAAATTACCAAACCATTCTTAATCCATTTAGTCCATTGGGTGAGTGTCCTCTAAATGGAAAGAAAGCTCAAACCAAAGGTTGTTTTAGGCATGAAAGAGACTTCATGCCGTTGGTAATGAACCCCCAAAGGGATTAAAACATTAAGCACAAATGCCTAAATTTCATACTTTAAACAAGCAAGTGGTTTAAACTACTTTCAAAGCAAAATAAAACCAAGAAAGGAGGGAGGTTGCAGAGCTGATTAAGGGCTGGAAATTAGTACTGAAAGCACTAAAGCATGCAACCAACTCAAACCAATGACAATTAAAACCTTAAAACATTAAGCTAATGAAGGAATTAACACTACAACCATACAAAACAAGCCTCAACTGAACTAACCAGCTCAAAACAGAGCCAAAACAGGTTATTTCAGAGGCAAAAACATGCTGGACTCCAGCAAGCTAAAATAATAAGCTAATATGTGAGGCTAACTAGGCATGCAAGCAAGACACAAGGAGGGGAGGCTAACCCCTCCAATTTTGGACTTCAAAAAAAGGTTTTTGCCACTGAAAAACCTCTGAAATTTAGTGGTTAAAAGGCCCAAAAAAGTTGATTTGAAAGTGATGAATAATAGCACAAAAGCTTAACAAACAAAGAGACAGGAAGGGCGGACCACCCCCTAACTAAAAAATGGTCTCAAACCATCACTTTCAGGTCATAAAAATAGAGGTTTTTTAGTTCAAAACCAGCCTCAAAAAAAATTAAAAAGATGAGAAAACAGGCATGCTAAACTAGTGAACAAAGCAAGTAAACTACCTTTTAAAGCAAAGAGCAATTCTAGGCACAAATCTAAGTTAAAACCACTTGCTAGAGCTCAAATCAAGTCTCAAGGAACCTCAGCCCAAAGAGAAGTAACTTCTATCAAGGAAGCGTATGCAAAAGTGTAGCGAAAACAAGCTTCAAGGCACAAAACTGTAAGAGAGAGAGAAATCTAGAGAGAGAATTTTTGTCTTCAAATTTTCTAACCCCCCCACAATGCAAGAGAGGGGTCCTATATATAGAAAATACAAATTCCCCTCACAAACATCCATCTATACACGTGTTGGAAGATGCAAGAACCTGTGCAAACAGTTGGCACAAAATATCACAAAATATCTGCAGGAAGCACTGATGGCCGGCAGCCTTCAAGGATGGGCAGCAGGTCATCAACAACCTCATTCTGAAAAGACCTAAGCATGGTCTAAAGATGAGGCAAAAAGGATGCAAGGTTTGGAAAACTCAAACCTGTTGCGTTCAACTATGGACGTCGAGCATTCGGTGAGCAATCAGACTCGCCATCGGATGCACCTACAAGAACATCCAAGTCTTAAAGGGCCGTCAAAATGGGGTGTCTACAGTTACCCCTCTTTGACAGAACTCGGAGTCATGAAATGACGTGAGTGAATGCCAAAGCCTAGAGACAACCCATTTTGACAAGGCCGTAAGACATTGGACAGACAATCGAGACAACAATAAATAGTTGCACCTGCAGGTTGCCTACGTATCCCTTTGCAAGAAGTCAAACTAGCGTAGTTCTGGGACAGAATGCAAACTGATATGCACAATGTAACGAAACAAAGTAATGATATTCAATACAACGAAACAATACAAATGATATACAATGTAATTGAATCATCAAACCATGGGCAGTGCAAAACCACACAAATACCATAAAGGGATGTAGATACAACATCAAACTACGTTTAACATAGAAAGGTACCGGAACCCTCAAACCACAATTCTCTTAGTGGAATAGGCATATGCATTTGTAGAACTATGTGTTTCACAGATAGTGCAGTAGATGCAAAGGGTGACATACTCCAACCATGCTGGAATTATGAGAGGAGGAAAAACAAATCCTAAACACGTTAAAATCGCGTGAGAAAGGGGACACTCGAACCACACTAAAATCGTGAGAAGAGGTCCAAAGAAAAGTCGTTAGGAGCGCGTTCCACGCATCCTGAGATAAATTTCAAACACGCTGAAATCGTGTAAGGAAAGGGATACTCTAACCACGCTGAAATCGTAAGAGGAGGTCCAAAAACAACCACTCAGTGGCGCATTCCACACAACTTGAGATAAATTCCAAACACACGAAAATCGTGTGAGGAAAGGAACACTCAAACCACGCCGAAATCCTGAGAA